TTTCTTCCTCTCGGGCGCTGGAGTCTACCATCTCTTGAGCGCACTCAATAAATGTTCTTTCCCGGGGTAAGCCGTCCTTCTTCCCGGTTTCCTTCGCCAGTTGGACCTTTAATATTGTGGACAAAAAGGCCATTTTGCCTCTACCTCCGGAGCGCCTGCTGTTTCCAGCATTTTTTCCGTAATACGGTTATAACTGTATTACATTAGACTGTCGTGAAGACCTCATCTCGTGGAACATCTGGAAAATGTCGTCCATCTGCCGTCACCATAGGCTTTCTTCAGTCGTTGCTTGACCGTCTCCCACGGCGTCTCTTCATCAGCCTGAATCTGGTTTAGTATACTCCTTTTAACCCTGCACACAAGTGTTGCCTTAAGGGCCTCCGCGTCTTCGACATTGACGAGATTCTCGTCTATCTTAGCATTGATCCTCGTCACGATCCGATCTCCCCTTTTAGAAAGTGGTTCAGCTCACCTGTTTCTCCAGTGAAGCGCTCAAGATCGGATATAGCCTTCCTCAGGTCCTGTAAAGTAGCTACCCTGATCTTCATCCACTCAATTGCGTTCGCATGCGCTGCGGCTGAAGTTCCCTGTGGTAACGGAGGGATCTCCGGCACATTCATAGGCGCTGGCTGCCTCAGGTCGAATTCAGGCATCCTCGTAAAAGTTTTCACTTATTGAGAAAAAAAAAGTACCTCTATTACCTTCCCGGGTTTCGGCACCAGTTAAGCGTAGCGAGCTTGAAACACTTAAAAAAAAGTACTAGGGTTAAGAAATAACACGCATGAAGATGAAATGAAGACTGGTTTATTTCTCCTTCTAATCCTCTATAAATACATTCTGAGACTGTTTACATCACTGCATTTGGTATTAACGTTAATACTGTCCCGCTCCGTACCTTAACTTATATATATATATATATATATATATATATATATATATATATATATATATATATATATATATATATATATATATATATTGTAATAATTTTTATTTATAAAGAATTCACATTAAAAAAATATGTTGGAGTTAGAAATAGTGTGGAGGGGAAGTCCCAATCCCCACTCTGTCCTCCAGGACAAGTCATCTGTCAGTTGCGGAATGCTCTTGAAAGAACATGTTTACATAGTCAAGGGAGCATAGACCAGATGAAGACCATCTTTAAGTGAAGTAACAATAGCAAATCAAGAATAGGAAAGATCATACATGAGATCAAAGATACTGTTTGGGTGGAATTTAACAACTAATGTATAAATAAAAATTTATTGGATTACAATGTCAATATCTCCAAATAGCTACCAAAGAGACATGGAAGCGTTAGTATAAACAATATAGTATTATAGAATAACACAATATGTAATATAACACAATAAAATATGATATAAATTCAATGCATCATATATTATATGATATAAATAAATAATACAAAATATACAATGGTACAAATATAAGATATCTAATTTTTTATATATATAGATCAGTAATATAATCCATTAATAATAAATAAAGTCAATCTACAGCATTGCCATATTTCATAAAACAAGTTCATGAGGAAGTTGTTATTGTAAATTTTGTATAAATCCATAAAAATTCAATCTTGCAGTATTAAGGGAATGAGGCAGGTAGTGAAGGGAAGGAGTATAAATGGGGCACAGGACAAAAATATGAAGAAGGACCTCTAGTTCATTTAGATCATGTAATAATAGAGAATGAAGAATTGAAAGATTTTTAATTAATTAAAACAGGCATGTTTAAAAACAAAAAAAATATTTTTTCTAACAAAGGTTATGCAAGCAATGTGGATAGTGCAGAGTAGCTCACTTTTCTTCCAAGAAAATTTAAAAGTTAACAACATCTATAGTATAAAAGTAAAAATTGAAATAAAAATACAATTTTTAATATGCCAGTTCAGTATTTCTACGTTTTTCTATCTTAATCCATGTACCTACCTTTATTACTGTTGGATTATACATAGATTCAGTCATATTTTTACTACCATTTTCTTGAATACAGTAATCATCAAGATATTTTACACAGGAAATCTGAAAGATTCCATTAAGAATTATAACCAAAGTTACTTCTATGAGTCTTTTGGCAGGAGTGTCAACATAACTGAAATAAACAAAATTCTTGCTTTTTATGTACTTCAAGGTTGATTAAGTAATTGAAAACAATGATAGAATAAATTTTTTTTACCGCCTCCTGAAAAAAAAGAATAGATCTTGTATCAAATTCCATATTGCACCAAAAATGCCTCCTATCATACCAAATAGAATATATAGTGGTAGTTCATATAAAAGAAAAGATTTATCCGCCTTTCTCATCGATTCCAGAAATAAATTTTCTTGTGAGGCGACACAGTCTAAAATGAAGACCAAATTTGAAAACTTTTAACAACTTGTTATAATAATTAATATTTTGACAATTGATAAATTATTGAAAACAAGAAGAACCAGGCGTGCAAAATTTTAGAAATGATGAACCCATACCCAAGATAGAACAAGACAATTGTACTTCTCAAAGCAATTAAATCATCTAATTGGTTACCATCTAAGAATTGTAAACTCAGGATTGCCTTATACTCAAGGGTTAGGAGACATTGGGCGAGAAACTCAATCTCCTGCATACCCTATTTCACATGATTCACACGGTCAACAGTCTTTCACATTCTATTAACAGTATATATAAGTAAAACAACTGAAATTACACCCAAACAAGAAATGTCTTATACACTCTTATCTGGTAATTTCACTCTTTTAATAAACATTGTTTCTATGTGTGGATCAAGCAATGTAATGTAGCAGCAGCGTAGGACCTTGGTTAGCAAATGGCAACGATTTGGAAATATCTTAACTTGAAGATCTTAGAAATGACAAAAAACGATTCGAAAAACCTTCAATAAAATAATCAAACAAATTTAAAAATAAAATTTTAAATTTACAGCCTTGAATTGATAATTTTTTGGTTTGGATGTTTAGTTAGGTTCAGATGAAATTTTGGTTAGTATTAGACAATGTAGGTAAGGAACATGAATATGGAGAGTTTTTATTTAATATCTGACCTCAGTCAGAATAACTGTTCTAGGTGGTAAGGAATGAGGAATCGGTGGAGATAAAATTTTTTCAACTGTTACAGTTTAGGTATCACGATCAGGACAAGACATGAAAGTGGGGTGTAAATGATTTGTTAGTTCTTCAACATTGTCTTTCTAATCAGCAACCATTTAATCAAACGGGATGCTAAATGAGACTGTATGCTAAAATATTGTGGTTATATTTAAGAGGGAGTTATGATGAGTAGAAAGTGAGATAAGAGTAGAATAATTCAGATCTAAAGGTAGTAAGTACCCCATTTGCACTAAATTAGGTTTTAATAATACTTGTATCAGCAAGAATCAGAATAATGTCTTCCTTCTCTTCTTCTCAGATTAAAATGTGTAGGGCCTACCGCATCTTTCCACCCGTATACGAACTTCCTATAATGTTTGTAATTCTCTCTGCTTATTAGCTGGAGAAACATGCTCTCTGTCAGTGTATATAGTCAGTAGTATAGTCATTCCCTGTCTCTCTCAGGAGCTTGGTTCTTAGTGCCTCATAGGCAGTACATTCGACCACGGGCAGATCTACGGTGAGGGGGGGAGGGGTTTCGGGCTGAAGCCCTCCCAAAATGGTAAAATATAACTATGTTTTATGGATTTTTTTTTTTAAATACCTCTTAAAGTATCATTGTTCGTGTAATTACATTTAAAAGTACTTAAGGAATCACTTAAACACCATTTCATATAGGTAGTTAGTTTCTTTCTGTTTTTCCAAAGTAATTATCGTTATTTTTATGAAAAAAAAAAGGTTTCGGGCTGAAGTTCCCCCCCCCCCAAAAATTAAATCCTGGATCCGCTAGTGCATTCGACTACCACATGTTCGGCGGTCTCCGGAACGTTGCAGTTGGGGCATAGCGGATCAATATTCTACCCGTTTTTGGTTGTTCATCTACATAACAGCAAACAATGTCCAAGAAGGGATTTGATGATGAGCATCTCATTGAAATATTGATATTCCTTATCCTTATGAACAATATTTCCTCTTCTTCTTCTTCTCCCTCAAAAAAAAAAAAGCGGTAGTCAGAGGTAGGATGTCCATTTTTTAATTTCGAAGGTAAAGCGAAATGTTCGAAGGTTATAACATCCTCAGTGAGCAGTTTCAGCGAAATAGCTACGCAGCAGCGGTTGGCAGCGTGGAATTGCGGTCGCTGTCATGGGCCGCGCTAGCGAAAGTCCAGTACAGTGCGCCACAGCCTGGTGAGGTGATCTAATCTAACAAACCGTAAGATTAATAAAAATGGTCATGATAATAATTTTTTTTAACAGTACATTAGAAATTTCGTCTATGAGGATGAATTTTCTCTATATTTCTCTTTTCTTTAAATAGCTGCTTTTAGGAAATTTTTTTGGAATGTTTTCCTCTATCCAAGAGAGGGCGCGCCCCCTGGCAGAATTCGCTAGTGTTAGTCACGATAATTTTTTTTCAATTAAATTAGGAATTCATTTATGAGGATAAATTTTCCCTACATTTCTCTTTTTTAAGTAGCTTTTTTTTTGTAACTTTTTCGAATTTTTTCCAGCTCCCAGGGAGGAGGGCGCGCTCCCCCTGGCTCGATCCGGTAGTGTGAGGACGTCCCATAATTTAACAACGATAAAGTGGAGCAAAGAGCAGCTGAAACTATCCAAGGAAACTATGGTAACGTGGAACAAATGTTGAACAAACTGAATGAAGCAAACTATAATCATTTCCAGGTGAATCACCGCTATAATTTTGTTGATCCATCAACTGGAGTCCATACTCAACACATAGAAAAAAATTAAAAGTAAAATTAAAGTGTTTTCTCAATGTTGTGGAAATGATTACATTTCTTTTGCCTATTTCAATTTCAAACCAAACTGTTTCGTTATTATTACATCTGTTTTCAATTTCAATAATATGAATATAATACAATAAATATTCCTACTCAAACATTTCTACATACAGGAGAAATATTCCTACTCCTGTTTCTGGGTTAAAATCAGAAGAAACATGTGATGTGAGGCGTTAAGGAACCACCTTTATTCAGGTAATCTAAGCTTATCAATTTATTTTCATTAGAATTACCATTTTTTGGTAGCTCTTGGTTGAAAGTAAACAAAAAAAAAAAAATTTCCATCAGACGACATATCCTAGAAGTTTCGCAAACTTGGTAAGTAGCTCCAGGGGCGGACACATAAATGATAAATTTACTCTTGAATTTTAATTTTCATCTAGATGAATATGATATACCATGGTAGTATAAAGAATTTAAAATTAAGGAGGCTAAGCTCTACACTTTATCCCCCATTGTTTAAAGCAAAATGGTTTAGAGGACATTCAAAGGTTACTTTTCGTATATATTATAACAAATATATATTTTTCCTTTATTTATTTTTTCAACATTATGTTCCGAAAATCATTAATTTGACGAATTAAGTCCAACTTCTTTAGAGTAAAATTAAAATTACTTTTCAGACTTTAATATTCTTTAATTTTAGCATCATTAATGTGCATGCCCCCACGGAACCATTACACGAAATGAAAATGAAAATAGATTTTTATTATCCTGTGACTGTTGTTCCTTTAGGACAAATTATATATACAGAGGAAATGCCTGTGTGGCCATAAAATTAAAATTAAATATTTACAATTCTCATTAAAATTAAAACAAAAACACTAAATATATACAGATATATATAATACAAACATATGAAAATAAAATAATATAAGTAAACAAAATCATTTCTGAGGAACTTAAAAAGTTCTGTTATCTACTTTTCATGATCAGTTGGGTTGGGAAAGAAGTAGGTGCTAAAAAAGGAGAGATTTAAATGAGGAAACTGATTGCGCATGTCGGGTATCGGGAGGGATGGTATTCCAGATGGAGACGGCTTGAATTATAAGGGATTTGTCAAACGCAGCAGTTCGGTGAGGAGGTGGGCAGAGGCCAGGAGTACGGGATCTAGTGGGACGAGATTGAATGGAATATTTAAATTGTAGTCTGTGAAAAATATAGGAAAGTCGCTGAGTTCTGATGGCTTGGTATAGAAAGGTAGCAAGGAAGTACAGACGGCGGTTGGATGAATATAGCCACTTCAACTTGGTGTAATACTGGGTTATATCCGTATATCTTGAGATTCCGAAGACAAAACGTATTGCACAGTTCATTAGGCGTTTCACACGGCGCACAGTTTGGCTTCGAATTCTCCCGAGAGTCCGCCGTACACCAGACAGCCATAGTCGAAGTGGGGGAACACAAGGGAGGAAACCAGGAGTTGTCGAGATTTATATGGAAGGAGATAGCGAAGACGGTCAAACTGTTTCAGGGTAGATATAGTACGACGGGAAATTTGGAAGATGTGTGGTTTCCAGGAGAAGGTTTGATATCAAAGGTAACACTAAGGTTTTTTACGAAAGAAGGGGAAAAGGACATATTTAATCAAGATCTTGAGTGATGTATGGGTGATTGCACACGATTTGTAATGCACAAATCGGCACAGAGCGTAAATTAAGTCATGTAATTGGAATGCAAAGCATACACGAAAAAATAACGAAAATGTTCAGAGGCTCGTCAGCTTTGCAACATCAAGAGGATTAGTAATAGGAAACACCATGATTCCCCATAAGAGAATCCATCTCGCTACTTTCGATCCAATGACCCTGTAAACACTAACCAGATAGATCACATCCTTATAAGTTTGCCACCAGTCTAATGGATGTAAAAGAGTGTTCAGAGGTGCGAATGGGGACTCTAATCATTACCTCATGATTTCAAGAATGCGTGTTAGAATATCGCTGCAACATAACATGACAAATAAGAAGACAAAAAGGATCAACTTGAAAAAGCTTAAGAACCCTCTGGACAAACTTCTTTTTATGGAATCAATGGATCGAAAATTCCAAGACCTTGAATCGGATGATGACCTTAGTCAGAGATGGAAGATGGAAGACATATAAATCAGCCATCTTAGAAGTCTCAAATGAAGTCTAAGGTCAAGAAAAGCTCCTTGGTTTAATTAAGAATGTAAACAAGTAACATATGAGAGAAAGTCTATGACAGTATTAAAAGGGAAGAGATATACTAAAATCTGTTAGAATCGGGAACTCCCTCAAAGTTGGTCCGTTTGATAAAGATGACCATGAAGAAGTGTGCTGTCCAAGTTGGTGGAGGACTTTCTAAGGATTTTGAAACATACAAGGGCCTTAGGCAGGTTCATTGTTTAATATGGCATTGTAATGTGCTGTTAGAAGCTGAGGTGTACAGATTGGAGGCACCTTATACACTGACAGGCAAACAATTCTACCCACTTGATTTTTCCATGTTTTCATCTAAAAATATTTCTGTAAAGTAATATTTGTATATAATACATGGTATTTGTAGATAATACTTAGTATTTACGGAATTTTATAATCTTTTTTACCTTTAATAATCAAAATGTGATTGAGTAAGAAAGATTAGAGAAAAAAAAAATTGAAAAACGAACCATTATTATTCTAAAAGAAATTAATTACACCATCGTTTAGTAGCGCGTGTTTCCTCCTCTTACCTTCACTACTTCTTGAAGACGCCCCGGCATACTTTCCACCAGTCGGGAAATGTCCCTTTGCTGGAGAATAGCCCATTCCTCCCGAAGAGCCCTTTCAAGGTACTACAGTGTATCAGGAAGTGTTGGACGCGCTCTTATTCGTCTTCTGAGGTTATCCCATAAATGCTCAATGGAGTTCAAATCTGGAGAACGTGCTGGCCAGGCTAAACTCTCAATATTGTTCTGTTGAAGGAACGTCTGCGCTATGCGGGCGATATGTTGGCGTGTATTATCGTGCATTAGAATAGAACGATCGCCGATTTCTTTGAGGATAGGCAACAGATGAGGTTCCAAAATCTCATCTACATAGCGAATGGTCGTCAAAGACCCTCCACGAACAACAACCAATTCTGTGCGGCGCTCCATTGAAATCCCAGCCGACACCATTAAGGAACCACGTTGGAAAGGTTGGCTCTGGGAAAAATTACAGCCTGCATATCTTTCGTTTCTTCTTCTCCACACCCTTTCACGCCCCTCTGGAGATTGAAGAGCGAATCTTGACTCATCTGTAAAAAGTACAGCACTCCATTCGTCCATAGTCCAATGGCTGTGTTCTCGAGCAAAAACCAGCAGTGTTACTCTGTGAGTTCTGGTCAACTCTGGTCCTCTTACTGGACGAAAAGCCATTAATCCATGCTCATTTAATCTTCTCCGAGCGGTACGTTCAGAAATTTGCACACCTCGAACTTCTTCAAGCTGATGAATCGCTTTAACAACGGTATGGTGCCGGTTTCGTAAAATTCTCAAAGTCAAAAACCGGTCATCCCGTGGTTCTGTTACCCTCGGCCGTCCAGAACCGGGCCTTCTATTGTAAGAACCAGTTTCCCGAAAACGCCTGCGTCTCGTAAAGTTTCATATGGAACTCTGATGGAATTAGCTGCATATCTAATGGAACGTCCATCATCAACAAGTGCCACACCCCGCGCAACATCCTCAGCACTAAGAGGCATTTTTAAACTTAATATTGAAAAAATTAGAAGCCGGAGACTAAAAAATGTGCTGCAAGAAACGGCACTGAACTAATGATACTGAATAAACATTTTGATTCCATAGAAAGTAAACATTGGAATCTAGAATCCTTTCATTGAATTAAGGATTGAGGGTTATTGTCCTCTATATTAACATTCCTAATTGAAAACAAACAAAAAGATTACCTATTTATTCATTAAAAACAATAGACCAATCCAAAGCAGAAATATTTTTAGATGAAAACATGAAAAACTTAGTAAATAATGGGAAGAAGCTTTGCATCTATGAAGGAGGCATTTTTCATGCTCTACAGGAAGCGACTCAAAGAGTGTATCTAGCAATAAATGAGTCAAAAACGAAATATATGAGAGGAGCTCTGCTAGCATTAGATCGGCAGGATGCCCACGTGATAATCTGTGACTTCACGTTTGAGTGTGTTAACGAATTTATTTATTTGGGCTTTCAAGTGGAATCCGACAATAATATGCACAAAAAATTAATAGACGATTAATGGTTGCAAACAGATGCTATTTCGGGCTCCTGAAACGTATTAAAAGTAGATGTCTCTCGAGGATCCCCAAAGTGCAGCTTTATAAACCCTAATAAGGCCTGTTCTGACTTATGCTTCTGAATGTTGGACAATCTCTCGAACTCAAGGGAAATAATAGTCTGTGGTACAGACCTCTTTTTGTCAAATTATTAACGTCCGCCTGAAACTTTGTAAATAGCTTCATCTCATCGTAACCTAGACCTATTTATTTTACGAAAATTCTCAAAATTGGGAAGTTTTCAATCTGGAGATCGGCAAACTTTGTCTATTTAATTAGGTACTAAATTCGAAAATATCCATTAGCCGATTGTAAGATAATTTGATCGCAAAATCAAGAAAATAGAACAAAAATATTGAACCGTGACTTACACCCTCTTACGGACTCAATATTGACTTACGGCTCAATATTTTAGTATGCCACATTCGCTTCTCAATTTTGTGATCAAATTATCTTACAATCCAAGTGAAAAGCAAATGGGTATTTACGAGTTTTTATACCTAATTAAATATAAAAAGTTTGCCGACCTCCAGATTGAAAACGCCCCAATTCCAAGAGTTTTTGTAAATATAATATTTGTAGGTCACGATGAGGTGAAACTATTCTCGAAGTTTCTGGCGGATGTTAATAATTTGATAAAGAGGTCTGTACCACGGACTATAATATTTTTAGAGATAATTTTTTTTATAAGATATGGTTATATTTTTCCGATTTGGACTTTAGACCGAACGCCTGCTCCCCTCCCCCATGTTGTAGATTCGCTCGTGGAACCATGGGTTATTAAATTTTATTATTTATAAAATTACCAAAGTTAGGTACTTTAAAGTATGAAATTGTGCTACAACCTAACAATGTAGTAAAGCATTAGAATACATAAACTTTTTTTATTGATAATTTAGCTATTTACTATATTAACTACAACATTTTATACAAATAATAGTAAATAAACGAATAAATTGATTACCAACACAGTCTTTAATAATGCTGTTAACTAAAAATTTTGATGTGAAGCAACTAATTAAAGCTGAAATAAATATTAAAAATGTCAATTCACCACTCCATAACGTCAAATTTTCTTCAAATGTAATCATTATACCAGCTGAAAAGTTACCATTAAATTAATGATTTTCTTTATATTTTTTATAATAAAATTATAATTACAATTATTTTTACTTCAAATTGAAAAATTAACTGGTAATTTGAGTCGTGAAAGATTATTTATAACTTTAATTAATTAATTTCAATTCGCCAGTCCCAAACCCATGGGGAGAAAAGAGGAGAGATACCTAGCTGTAATCTGAATGGGCACGCACATGAAACATCTCAGGAAATAGGGGCATTATTCCATTCTGAGTCCTCAATCAACACACAAAGTGGTTCCTCCTATGCACCGAGGGAGCAAGCCTGAGGGGTTTGAGGAAGATGCCCTTTTCTTGTAGCTTTGAGATTTTATGCTTATAACCCGCAAACTTATAACTAAAAACGTGATAAAGAAGACATGACAGATTTAATGGAAATGATCCTTGCGGATATGCGGATGACCTTCAGAGTATGGAAGAGCACTGTTGTGCAGCGTGAATCTTTATGGTGAAGAAGAAAGACGTCATCTCATGCGTGACTTCAATGCACTGTTGGTAATGAAGGAGTGAAGACGTTCATGGGGGCAAAGGATCTGGAGGCAATAAACGACAACAGCAATAGGCTTTTAAACCCCAATATACATTACAATTTAGTTATTGAGGGAATCTATTTATCTATTCACAAATCTATTTCCTTTCATAAAACAACCTTTGTATAACTTTACAACTTGACAGTCCATCATCGCATATATATCGCAATTGGTAAAAAGTGGTATAGATAGATAGATAGATAGAAAAATAACTTCATTCTGTGACACAGTCCCTTGAGAATAACAAAATAGAACAAAATTAATAGATTACATCTGGCCAAAATAAAATCAAACGAAAAAAAGAAATAATGTAAAGAAAATATAAGGTAAACATTCTATATACAAAACAAACGAAACTATATACAAAACAATTAATACTATGGCAAGACACTGAAAGCTATTTGCACTGATTGACCAGTATACACTTTTAAGAAAATAATAAAGAATTAAAAAATATATCAAATTCTCAATTAAAATCAGCTTTGTGTTTCTGTTGAGAAAACGGAAAGCTGAATCTGACAATATAACGTGCCTGATTAATATATAAATACATTATCATTTAGCATTGATATTTGACAATGAATGACATGAAATAAATGTATGTTGTCGAATGGTTAGCAACTATCTGACTGTTTTTGGGATATTAATTGGAATAGGAGGGTGTATGTCTCCCTTTGATGTTTGAATAAATGTTGGTAGCGATCACACCTCTTTTCAGCCAATATAAAATTAATATTGCCAGCACATCATCGGGGAAGACAAGGATGTGTAAAGAGAATCGAGGCTGATAGTAAGAGACTGACCTAAGAGAATTGATCTGTGGAATGTGAAGGATGAAAATTAGAAAAACAAATTCCTTTTAGAGCGTCTGAATACATTCACAGTGCAAGAAGACAAGATTGCTGATTTAGAAGTAGTCTGGATCAATAAAAGTGTGGCTTTCCAAGAGGCAGGAGAAAAGATTTTGGGCTTTAAAGAGAAGACCGAAAAGAAATGGTTGTCAGCAGAGACTTGGGCCCTCCTGGAAGAGTAGAGGAGGTCAAGGATGGAAATAAACAAGACGGCCTCAATAAAAATAAAAATTAGTGCATACTAAGAAGAAACAAGAATATATATCCAATATATAAATATAAACAAGAATATCCAACAAGAAGAAAAAGAAGAAGAGAGAGAGTAACCTATTGAAAGGTGAATATCATAATTATTGCATAAAATTACCTATAGGTGTTCCAAAAGCTGCACTAAACCCAGCAGCGGTCCCAGCCGCGCCCATATTTCGCCTTTCAGTGTCATGTTGAAAATAAGTAAATGGCTGTACTTTACAAAAACTCATAAAGGCTGTTATGCCACCAACAGCACACCCCAAAGTAACAATAGGTCCTTCCTACAACATAAAATAGTAAACAAAACATATATATTTATTTTCTGAAAATATAAAATAAATGAAATAGATCGAGACCTGCATAGTTGGATCGAAACTTTGCCTTAAAATAAAATAGTTTTCACTATTTTAAGTTTTTTATGACTGCCACCACGGACCACCTCCTTCCTCAAAAAATAAAATACAAAGATTTCATCACTAAAAATCTTACAAAGATAGTCGTATTTTAAAAGTCTAATAGAAATAATTTTGGCGTTATTAAAAACTGTTAGTTTAAGATCCAAAGGATATATCGCAAAGTTTAGAGGTGGTGGAGCTGCATCCTACTTTCTCCTGTTTTCCTTTTCATTATACGTGCTACGAGTGAAATTATGGCCTAACAATTAGGATGTTTGAGAAACTACTTCAAGCTACAAAAATCTTTAGGCAACCCGATGTCCAAATACATAGACCCTGCGTCTACGAAAGCTCGCTCCTAACTGACTTCCCGGCGATCTTATCGCAGTATTTTGATGTCCTATTCCCTAAGACTCAGCATTACTGCCGGGCTGGTGCGTATACATAAGCGATAATACATCGTGAAATAAAAATAATGTTAAAATAATATTCATTCAATAAATTTCAGGGACAATTATAACTCAACCTTTTACAAAGAAAAAATAAATAAACATTTATAAACTAACATTCAAAAAGAATGAACAGAGGGGAAAAAATAATAATGAAAAAAAAATACAAGTTGGCGGTGTTAACAATCAGCTTGTGGCAGCTTTAAAGATGAGGTCATTAAAAAATGGACAGTGTGGAAGATATTAGCAGGTTAATAAAAAATCAAATGGAGTGTTCGTCCAATTAAGTAATAAGGGGCGGGATGGCCGAACGGGCTAACGTGTGTGAACTGCACCGCGCGTTGTCCGGCAACCTGATAACCGAAGTTTAGAAGAAAACATAATTATGGGTTCGTGTCCCAGTGACGGGGGAGCTTACACGCTGGCATTAATTCCCCGTCCTCAACCTCTACTCAGTCCTACCACAGGCAATGAAAAGAATGGATACAAACATAAGTACAATTGTAACAATAACGATTATTATACATTTAATAACCTAAAACTGCGAAGTTCTTACTGGCCAGGAAAGTATTTTAAACTAATCACCAGGGACACTCTTTTTATATAGTAAGAACACTGGACCTCAGACAACTCTAAAAACACCATGCGTAAAACTACATCAGAGCAACTGTTGTTCCGGAGGAATCTACCAAGGTCCTGTCCCGGCGCAATGAGCGCTGAGATCACTAAAACCATTCTTTCAGTGGTGTCCGCTGCAGTAATCTCTTCAATAATGGTGCCAAGAAATTTTTAATTTGGCCTGGTTCTACGACCAAACCTGCTGGTATATTGCGGAAGAGTTGGAGATTGTGTAGGTGTCTGAGTTTCACTTTTAGCAACATAAGTCTCTGGTGGAGGTTTGGTGAGCTAAGAAGAAGAAGAAAATGCTGACACAATTATTTCATTGTTGTTCGCAACAGATCCTTAAATGTATGTATTTCATCTTCATGTTGTATGCTCTCCCCATTCTTGTAGCTGAGACCTCTAGGAGTTTAAATGTTGGTAACCCATCTCTGGACACAATCAAGAAGTTAAACAAATCTATTCAATAAAGTCCCTTACTAAATATATTCCTGGTAATAATATCTCAAATATCAAGTTCAAGGCAAGGCAAGCAAAGCCGTCACTCTGTTCACACTAGTCTCTGTAGAAAAATCTTTAGAAACGCTCCTGCCAATCCTTACACAGTACACATTGTCATTCTCACTGATCACACAAGATAAAAAAAAAAAACAATGATTTAAGTTCTAACTTAAACCTTATTTTACAACTTAGTCATTTATGTTGATATTAATAATTTCAATTAATATTTCAATGCTATCACTCTAATAAGTGATATAATATTATAAGAAAAAACTTGTTGTTAATATTTTAGTTGAATATTTTTTGTGATCCTATCTTGATCTTTAAAAAATATATAGATGTACGAACCTTTCCTGTTGGCAGTCCACTCATTACTGTAAGAATAAGGCTAATTGTTTTAATTAGAAGAAACTTGTATTTCATGATGTCTCTAATATTTATACCATTTAAATAGCTGAGGGCTAAATGAGCACCACCACCCATCGCCATAGGCTGGAAAATAAAAAAGTTTTATAACGGGTTATTCTTTGCTATGTTGTTAGATAAATATTAAATTGAACGTACCTCTCCATATGCCACAAGAACAGAAGCAATGAATGCTGGAGCTAATATTGACATTGTCCACAAATAACATAGCTTTAGGAACTTTTCGTCCATATATGCGTGTGTGGCTAAAACCATTTAAGTAATTTCAAAATACATTGAGAAGTCTACAATATAGAATTATATATATGAATACTACAAAAACTTTAATTTATTAAAAAAATACGTATATAAAGGATGGAAGATGAATATGACTACTTGCTAAATATCAAAATTGATATATGTTAATATCATTGCTTCAGAGTTTTATTACTTTGGATTATTTATGCCTTTCTATTCCATACACACTATGAGTACTTGAAGACGTTCCTCAGATTAACGGAATACCATCCGAAATTTATTTAGCAGTGCAAAAGAACCAATCAATAAACAAAAACTCTGGTGCGGTGCGCATATCACCCGACTTTCACTTACCACTTTAAGTTGAACAGAAAACCTTATTTTCAATATAACATACTCATTTGAAATAATTAATTACCATACATAACATTGTGGCTGTT